AATCTTAAGGAGTTGTGGTCACTAAGCCCAAAATTCTTTCCTACTGAAACGTCGATCACCCATGCTGGCTTATTTCCTACTACCAAGTCTAGTGTAGCCACCTCTCTGGTTGGATTGTCAACATACTGTCTCTGAAAGCCCTCTGGGACACATCTAACAAATTGCTGATTGTTGGAGTCCCAGTCAATAAGAGGAAAGTTGAAGTCACCCATCACAATTACCCTGCTTTTTTTCCCCCACACCTTTTGGTATCTGACTACATAACTGCTCCTCTGTCTCATGTGGGCTGTTGGGAGGTCTATAGAAAACTCCCAGCATTGTGATTTCACCTTTTCCTATTCCTGAGCTCCACCCATAATGCCTCACTGCAAGATTCCTCCAATGTACCTTCCGTTAACACAGCTGTGATGTGATCCCTAATCAGCAACTCCCCCACCCCTTTTTTGTTTCCCTTTCTATCCCATCTGAAACAGTGACATCTTGGAATGTTAAGCTGCCAGTCTTGCCCCTCCTTTATCCATGTCTCCGTAATGGCAATAACATCACAATTCCATGCAGTAATCCATGCTGTTAGTTCATCTGTCTGACCTGTTATACTACTTGCATGGCATACTCCTTTATCCCTAGGCCCTGCACTTACTGGCCTGCTGTTCTGGTTCCCACCCCCCTGCCATACTAGTTTAAACCCTCCGGAACAGCTCTAGCAAGTCCCCCCCCAGGATATTGGTGCCCCTCCAGTTCAGGTGCAATCCATCCTCCTTGTACAGGTCCCACCTTCCCCAGAAGATATCCCAATGATCCATATATCAAATGCCTTCCATCCTACACTAGCTCTATAGCAATGTGTTCAACTGTACTCTGTTCCTAGCTTCACTAGCCCGTGGCAAGGGTAGTAATCCCGAGATTACAACTCTGGTAGTCCTGCTTTTTAAGCACCCTAACTAACTCCCTGAACTGTCCTCGCAGGACCTCTTCCCACCGATGTCATTGGCACAAATGACAATGACGTCTGTCTGTGGCCGAGAATTTGCTAGAGCTACTCGGGAGGCTTTCAAGTAACAAGGCAGGTGGGAACCAAAGCAATAGTGCAAAAAGGCTGAGGCTGGTACAGTAGATAAGGGGAGCAACTCAAATAGTCAAGGCGGACAAGAGCTTGGCAGAGAATGAGGTAAGACTGATAAATTAAACTGCCTTTACTTCAATTCAAGAGGCCTGACAGGTAATGCAGATGCAGGCATAGTTGGGAACATGGCCCTGGGATTTCATAGCTATTATAGAAACGTGGCTCTGGGATGGACAGGACTGGCACCTTAATGTTCCAAAGGAGAGACTGAGATATGTATAACACAGAGTAAGAGCAGGTGGAAAAGTCACTGGGCTCAGAGGGACTGGAGATCTGGAGTTCCAGGGTATAAATGCTATAGGAAGGATAGAAGGGGTGGCAAGACAGGAAGGGGAAATGGCGTTTTTGGTTAGGCATAACATTACAGCTCTACTTAGGGAGATTTTCCAGTGAAGTTATGTGGGTAGAACTGAGAAATAAAGGGATGATTGCCTTGTTATAGATCCCCAATAGCCAGCCTGAAATTGAAAACAAATATGTAAAGAGATCTCATATCTGTAAGAATAATAGGGTCGGGGATTTTAACTTTCCAAATATAAACTGGTGCTGTCATAGTGTTAATAAGGGCTTGGGTGGAGAGGAATTTATTGATTGTGTGCAAGAAAACTTCCTTATTGAATATGTGGATGTATCTACTAGAGAGGGAGCAATTCTTGACTGTGTTGGGAAGTAAGGCAGGACAAGTGAGGGAGTACTTTGGGGCAAGTGATCATAGTTATATTAGTTTTGAAATAGTTATGGAAAAGGATAGAACTGATCAAAAGTTGACGTTCTAAATTGGACTTGGGCCAGTTTTGAACTTTCGAGAGTTGATTGGGGAAGGCTATTCGTAGGTAAAGGGATGCTTGGGAAGTGGGAGGCCTTTAAAATGACAATGAGAGTTCAAAGACAGTATGTTCCAGTTGGTGAGATGGGCAAGGTTGGTAGGTGTAGGGAATGCTGGATGACTGGAGAACTTGAGGTTGTGCTCAAGAAAAAGGAGGAGGTATATGTCAGGTATAGACAGCAGAGATCGAGTGAACTTCTAGAAGAATATAAAGGCAGTAGGAGTATACTTCAGAGGGAAATCGGGAATACGAAAAGGAGACATGAGGTAGCTTTGACAAATGGAATGAAGGAGAATCCAAAGAGATTCTACAGTAAGTTAATGGCAGAAGAGTAACTAGAGAGAGAATAGGGCCCCTTAAAGATCAACGTGACCGTCCGTGTGTGAAACCACACACATATATGAGTGAGATACTGAACAAGTATTTCACATCCATATTTACTGTGGATAATGACATGGAAACTAGGGAACCTGGGAAATAAAAAAAAAAAGTTTGAAGAGCTCATATTACAAAAAAGGAGGTGCTGGTGGTCTTAAAACGCATAATTGTAGATAAATCCCCAGGAGCTGATCAGGTGTTTTGCAGAACTTTGGGAAGCTAAGGAAGAGTTTGCTGGGCCCCTTGATGAGATAATTGTTCATCGAGAGCCAGGGGTCATGTGCCAGAAGACTGGAGGCTTGCTAAAGTGTTGCCATTATTTAAGAAAGGCTGTAAGGAAAAGCCAGGGAACTAGACCGTTGAGCCTTGCATCAATGGTGGATAAGTTGCTGGAGGGGACAGGATTTACATTCATTTGGAAAGGTAATGACTCAATAGGGAATGTCAACATGGCTTTCTGCATGGGAAATTATGTCTCACTAACTTGACTGAGTTTGCTTGAAGAGTTGACAAGGAAGATTGATGAAGGCAAAGTGTGAGACGTCTATATAGACTTCAGCAAGGCATTTGACAAGGTTCTGCATGGTAGGCTGGATAGTAAGGTTAGATCACATGGGATCCAGGGAGAGCTAGCCAATTGGACACAAAATTGGCTTGAAGGTAGGGGACAGAGGGTAATAGAAGTTTGCTTTTGGGACTTAGAGGCTTGTGATGAGTGGGGTGCCACAAAGATCACGGTGTTAGGTCCACTGCTTTTTGTCATTTTATATAAATGATTTGGATATGAATATAGGAGGCATGGTTAGTAAGTTTGTGGATGACATCAAAATAGATGGTGTAGTGGATAGTGAAGAAGATTATCCCAGAATACAACGGGACCTTGATCAGATGGGTCAGTCAGCTGAGGAGTGGCAGATGGAGCTTAATTTAGAAAAGTGTGAGGTATTTCATTTTGGTAAGGCAAATCAGGGCAGAACGTACACAGTTAATGGTAGTGCCCTGGGGAGTGTTGCTGAGCAAAGAGACCTAGAGTGGCAGGTGCATTGTTCCTTGAAAGTGAAGGCACAGGTAGATAGGGTGGTGAGGAAGTTGTTTGGCACGTTTGCCTTCATTTGTCAGTGCATTGAGCATAGAAGTTGGGAGGTCATGTTGTGGCTATACAGGGCATTGGTGAGGACCCTTCTAGAATGCTGTGTACGTTTCTGGTAGCCCTTCTGTGAGAAGGATGTTGTAAATCTTTTCTGTACCCCGTCAAGTTTAACAAGAACATTGCTGGAACTGGAGGGTTTGAGTTATAGGGTGAAGCTGAATAGGCTGGGGTGTTTTTCCTTGGAGCATCAAGGTCAAGGAGTGACCTAATAGAGCCTTGTAAAATCATGAGGGCCATGAATAGGGTGAATAGCCAAGGTCTTTTTCCTCTGCTGGGTGTGTCCAAAATTAGAGGGCGTAGGTTTTGAACAGGACTGGAGAGATAACTTCTTCATACAGAGGGTGGTACATGTATTAAATGAACTTCCAGAGGAAAGGTTGGAGATGGATACAATTACAATATTTAAAGGGCGTCTGAATGGATATGTGACTAAGAAGGTTTTAGAGGGATGTGGCCAAATGCCGGCAAATGGAACTAGGTCAGATTGGGATGTCTAGTCGGCATGGAGGAGTTGGACCCAAGGGTCTGTTTCTGTGCTGTATGACTCTGCCTCTATATGGAAGTGAAAAACAGACCATAACAGGAAGGGATAAAGATCATGAATCTGTCAGTCAACCATGTGTTGTTTCCCACATAATCCAAAAGAATTACTCGTCTATGATACCCACAGAGGCATAACATCCAGAAAGAGTAACTGATGATGGCTGGGAATCATGCTTTTCAATGCCTCCACAGATGAATTGAGATATTTGAATAGGAACTGAGTATTCACCACATTGATCTGGAAAACTCAGCTGCAAATTCATTGGTGTGTTTATTGATTGATTTCCCAGTAGAGACTATGGGAACAGGCTTTGGCGTGTACATCTTATGTTTGCTTCCATTCCTGAGATTGAACTCGTGCTGCATCATCTTGCAAAAGTCACAAGAATTCACCTGAACCCTCCATAGAGGAGGATGCTCGGTTCATCCATGTTCTTGTCCAACATCACCCAGATTGATTAGCGTATTTTTTTGAATACTTGTCAGGCCTGCTGAATTTTTTTCTTTCTCAATTTCTCTTGAGTCTAGAACAGACTCCCAAACAAAGAGGGGACACTATCTTGAAAAACTCCTGTAAGAATCGGAAGTATGAGTGGGAATGGAGATTGAGAATGTATTGACTCAGGACTGTGTGTATTCTGTAGGTGCATGTGCTGGCACTAAGCCGTGACGCAAGGACCTTTTGAATGTTTGAATTGTGAACCTACATGAATAGTATGGAGTTTTATTCTTGTAGTGTGGCCACTATTTTGTGCACTTCTGATTATGCAGAGGCGGCTGTACTACCGCAAACACGGAAAATGCTTGAGAAACTCCAATATTTAAGGCAGCACCCGTGGAGAGAAAGAGTTAACATTTTGAGTATGATATGACTCTTCAGAGCAGGCAGGTGAAAGTTAAAAGATTAAACCCCAATAAGTTTGAACATTTGGAAGCTGAGAGTTGAATCCTTCTGATATATTTCTGTTTTTATTTGTAGATATGTGAATGGACATGCCAAGAAACACTACGAAGATGCCCAGATTAATTCCAACAACATTAAAAAGTCAGAGAAGCATGAAAAAGAGAAATTGCAGCATGCAGTGTGTATGGATTGCAGCAGTTACAGCACCTTCTGGTATGTGAAGATCAAATATTAAATCTGTTAATGCAGGGTTTATAATATTATTTGAACTGGAGGACTTGCTGCACACTTTAATGTATGCTCCTTAATTTAAGTACCTGCTTCACTCTGACCTTCAATGTTGAATAATATTTGCCTTAAGAAATCCAAGCAGTTTTTGTATATGTGTGGGTTTTAACTAGTACATTTTCAACAGCTTAAAGAAAGATCAAAACAGAGAAACTCTGATTTTTATCCCTTTTTAAACCTGCATTGAAGAAAGCATGATGGATTTTCTAGCACCCCATCCATATTCTGAAATATTTCACAACCAATAAACGAGGTAATTTCTTTTTTCTGGGTTTGTTGGTTTAAGGAGAAATGTTGACCAGGAGACAGTGAGGAATCTTAATCTTTGCCTTGAAGTAGAGGACTTTTATTACAATGGATTTTGGCACAAACAATTTGCATATACACCAAGGTCCCTCAAGCAGTCCAATGAAATCATGACCCGATAATGTTTTTGATTGTGAATGAAGTTTGGCTAGGATGAGAGGAGGATTGCTTGCTGCTGCTTGGGTTAACTTCTCATCTAAGCAAAACAGCCTTCTCTAATATTGTCTTCATCTTTCGCCATCTTTGAAACTTCTATAGCCTTGCAGTTCCCCCATTCTGTTGTGTTCTCACTCTCTGATTCTCGTGCATGCTCCCTCTTTACTCAGTGCTGGTTGTACCCTTGTTATCTGCGTGCTACTCTCTGGAGTTTTCCTCCTTTTAACATCTCTAAATCCCCCTTCTTTGACCAAGCGTTTTACAGTCACTTAATATCCCCTTTGGCTTTGCATCTACTTTTTGACTACTTGGCTTTAGAATACTTCCCTGTTTAGAAGTGGCAAGTAAATGTAAATTATGAGTAACAAAGTGATAACTGAAGAGTACCCTTTTTATTTTAAATAAAATAAATTCTTAGTTTCGGTGGCTGAGTTTCCCTACAATTATTAAAAATTTTAAAATCACACATGGATGTAGGAATAGCTGGCTAGGCTGATGTTTATTACCCATCCATAATTGCCTCAAAGACAGTTAACATTCATCCACATTGCTGTCGGTCTGGAGTCACACATAAGCTAGACCAGGTATGGACAGCAGTTTCCATTAGTGAACCAGATGGGTTTTTCCAACGATCAGTAGCAACTTCATGGTCACCATTAGACTCTTGATTTTAGATTTTTATTGAACGTGGACTGTTATTTGCCATGACAGATTCCCGGAATGTTAGCTGAATCTCTGGGTTATTAGTCTAGCAATAACACACCAAGCTATCACAATCTCTTTTCAGGAAGAGAATCGAAAATGAATTTTTGGTATAGTATTGTGCAATTATAACACAATGTGGCAGTTACTGTATTTGGGAAACTGTTTCTGTTAAAGACTTCTGGAAGCAAAACTAAAAGCAGTGGTTTCTGATGAAGGGTCGAGGCCCGAAACGTCAGCCTCTCTGCTCCTATGATGCTGCTTGGCCTGCTGTGTTCATCCAGCCCTGCACCTTGTTGTCTCTAAAAGCAGTGGTGGCCTTGTCATTGACAATGGTGACAAGCAAGGTAAATGTCAGCTTTAGATCTGTGATACTCATAGTTCATCAAGCATTAGCTGATGTCCATAGATTCTGCCATACATACCTCAGTAGTAATCTGCAGCAAAACACGCTTTATCTGTGATTGATTATTCCAGAGCTTTTGCTAAATTTTGATGTCAATTTTAGTTTCTTTAAATTATTCAGTTCCTTTGTAGACTGCACCTCTGATCTATCCTCAGGTGGTTTTCTCAGGGTTTTCGAATGTGCTTCTGCAGTGAGAGGCTTTTCTTCCTTCAACTGAGTACTGTACAGTCCTAGGGGAGGGAGGTTTGTCTATTTATATTCTCATCATGTGTCTGATCTCTTTGTTTGCATCTGTCCCATTAACAAAGCTGTGAATGAAGTATTCTTGACTGGCTAAGGCAGATGAGATGACCACACGGTTACAGCACTGGAGTAAACTTCTGTTGCTGCTAGCTGAATTGCTTGACTTAGCACATGCAGTGAAGCCACCTTTTGTGCAGGTTTTTTCTATGGGTGCTGTATATTCTTCCTAAATTACCTCTGGCTTGCATTGCAAATAAAATCCAGAAGGGTTTCAATAGTTCTCCCTTTTTCAGAACTGGATTTCATACAGCTGTGTATCCTTGCTTATGATGAATGGGAGAAAAAAAAATCTCAAATCTGTGCTGTCACTTTTGTTCTAAGGGACACAACGCTCTTGTGTCTCATTCTCATTTGGTTTTTTTTTGGGTATTTTGGTTCTCCAGTTGGACTGATGAAGCAAGGAGAAGAGTTGAGAATAAAAGCTTCCAAAGAGCAATGCATTAGTTGCTTTCAGATCTCTTATCGGTAGTCTTTATTTCTGCAATCCACCGTTCCTCAAGATGAGAGAGGAATGTGTGAGTGAAGTCCTAATGTTGGACTTCTCATCACTTATTTAAAAATAGGAAATGGCCTTGGATATGTCACCTTGGCTCAGACATTTAAATGTGGAAAAATAAAATGTTAACAAATGTTACTCTTTATGTGGATCTATTTGATGTATTGGCATTATGTAACCATCACTGGGGTAAATGCAATTGGAATTATGCCCTTTTAGTGGTAGTTATGTCGATTCATACAGCCCACCTAGTCTGCATCGATGAATCACGGGGTGGGTGTGAGTAATTAACTCTGCCATTAGGCAAGATTCCAGATTAGATATGCACCTTATGAATATTCCAATCAGTCTGTGCTGCAACTTGTTATTTAGTCACTGAGTACAGACAAAACCTGACTATATGGTTAATGTTAAATTAAATATTGCTTCATAGGAATGCAGTTAGCTTTAAAACAGTCATTTAAATGAGAAGGCAACATTTCCCTCTTGCTTGCACGAATTTGGGAATTTCAGATTTCTCTTGGGGAAATTTCCAGAAAGGCTTACCATATTTCACTAAAATATGCAGTTCATAATTTAATTATAATTTTAGAAAACCTCAGACACCTATAAATGCATTTATCTTTTCTTTCAGGTTACAAGTAATCCTTTCATTTCGATTTAAATATGTTACAAGATCAATCTTTACAGCATTTAAGTTGACAGGTTACGTTGTTTGCAGTGTTGTCTTTTCTGCTACATATAGTTACTGCTAAATACTTAGAATTTTCATCAATAAGATGAAAAGAGTAATTTTATGTTGATTTTGTGTATAAAGTTATCTATTTCTTTCTGAACTTGCATCTGTGATAATTTTAGCCCTGAATTTCCTGGATTACATTTTATGGCTTACTTAGTGCTGATTTAATTTTATTTTTAAAAGATGCAGAAACCTGTATCGTGTCCCTAATACTGTTGGCACCTCACTCTTGAACCTCTTGTCTGTTGATTATGTCCTTTATTATGCAGGGGTGTGCCAATTTAAGAAATCATTCTTGCTTGGTCCTGCTGAACCTATATGGTTTTGGCAGGTTTCAATATGAAAATTCGAGTGTACTGAGTGAGACAGCATTATTTTTGAATTACTACAGGTCTCATTCACATGTCATTATCAAAAGAAATGAAAATGGCAGAAATTTTGGAAGATTCATTTTGGGAGCTGCGCAAATGATTGAGGAAATATGCACACATAGGGCAGCACGGTGGCACAGTGGTTAGCATTGCTGCCTCATAGCACCAGGGACCCGGGTTCAATTCCACCCTCGGGCGACTGTCTGTGTGGAGTTTGCACATTCTCCCCGTGTCTGCGTGGGTTTCCTCTAGGTGCTCCGGTTTCCTCCCACAGTCCAAAGATGTGCAGGCTAGGTGGATTGCCCATAGTATTCAGGGATGTGTAGATTAGGTGGGTTACAGGGGGATGCTCTGCAGTTCGGTGTAGACTTGTTGGGCTGAATGGCCTGTTCCCACACTGTAGGGAATTCTGTAAATTCTATAAATTTGACATAAATCAACAATAATCAGTTATGCAGGAATTTCCTCAGAAATGAAAGAACTAATTTTCACTTTTAGTTATGTCGAAAGTTTCTAAGAAAGTCCAGACCTTTCTAGCCTCCTTTTCCATAATTATTTTCCTATGTTTACATTTTCAATTGAGATGCCCTTCGGTGACCTTATCATATTGGAATTATACTCTCCTGCCAGTGGACACAGTAGTATTGACAAGTTGCAATAAAGTAAAACTCAAATTTTACTTTTAAAAATGAGGGTTGAATTTCACCTCAATATCCTGATCCAATTAGTCCTGTGATTTTGTTCCTTTTTTTACCCAAAGATGAGCTAGTTTATCAAATAATGTAGAATCAAATATTTAGGGTTCAATAACATTGAAAATAAATCCGAAAAGTACTTGTTGTTTAATGTGTAATCTGTTTTTGCTTTAGTTACAGATGTGATGATTTTGTGGTGAATGATACCAAGATGGGCCTGGTTCAGAGGGTCAGAGAGCATCTACAGAACTTGGAGAAGTATGTGTGAATAAGTTAATGGTACTACTGTAATCTTGACTGTTTTGAGGTTTATTTTCTAGACTAGTTTATCTTTTAGATGCAGGTTTTCGAAATCAAAAAGCAGAAAAAAATGTTTGTGTGGGTCCCCAGAGTAAGCTTGTAAGACAATATAGTTGCAAGAGAGCAAGATGATGTGAAACTAAATAAAAACTGAAAGAATTGCGGATGCTGGAAATCAGAAACAAAACAAAAATTGCTGGAAAAGCTCAGCAGGTCTGGCAGCATCTGTGGAGAGAAATCAGAGTTAATGTTTTGGTTAAGTGGTCCTTCCTTAATTCTGAGGAATTGAATCCCTGCTTGTTATGTCTGAGTTGTGATTGAACCTTTCCTACAGGAAAAATGATTTTCCAGCACTGACAACAACTGCTGTCCTGTCTTGTTTAGAAAATAGTTTAAATTAGTGTAATATATACTTTGGAGGTAGAAATTTGGCCTGAGAATTATCACATTACTTTTTGTTCTGTTCTAGACATAGCTCTGATATATGGATTTGAAAAAATAGCAGCTAAAAGTGCTAACTTATAGGGCAGCTTTAGGTTTCTAAACTGACATACTCAATGTTTTGCGACAGAAATAATGGCAATTCATGTTATTATTTTGCTTTCCTCAATTGCTTATCAGCTCAGTAAAAGGGTTAAATTCGCAGATGATAGCTGTTTCACATTAATGTTCTGTTGGCAATAGTGCCTCCAAACAAGTGAATTCAGGCCCTGAAAAAATGCCGCTGACTACAAGTTCCCATTGAGGTGAAAACTTCATGACCTCACTGTATGGGTGGTAACATTTAAGATGTATTTACATCAAACAAAGAACAAAGCAGCACAGGGATCAGGTCCTTTGTCCCACCATTTCTCTGCCAACCATGATGCCATTCTAAACTAATCCCATCTGCCTGCACATGGTCCATTCCTTACCTATTCCTGTGTCTATCCAAATGCCTCTTAAACATTCCTAGCATATCTGTTTCCACCATGGTATTGTGTTCCAGGCACCTACCAGCCTGTGTGTAGAAAGAAAAATGGTTTCGCATATCTCCTTGTAAACTTTCCCTGTCTCACCATAAACCTATGCCCCCTAATATTTGACATTTCCATCCTGGCTATCCACTGTATCCGTGCCTCTCGTAATTTTATTTGCCTCCAAGTTGCCCCCCCGCCTCAGCCTCCAAAGCTCCAGCAAAAACATTCCAAGTTTGTCCAGCCTCTCCTTGTCGCAGTCCAGGCAACATTCTGATAAAGAGATAGTAGGAACTACCAATGCTGGAGAATCTGAGATAACACGGTGTAGAGCTGGATGAACACAACAGGCTGAGCAGGAAAGCTGACGTTTCGGGTCGAGACCCTTCTTCAGAAATGGGGGAGGGGAAGGGGATTCTGAAATAAATAGGGAGAGAGGGGGAGGCAGATAGAAGATGGATAAAGGAGAAGATGGGTGGAGAGGAGACAGACAGGTCAAAGAGGCGGGGTTGGAGCCAGTAAAGATGAATGTAGGTGGGGAGTTAGGGAAGGGGATAGGTCAGTCCAGAGAGGACGGACAGGTCAAGGAGGCGGGATGAGGTTAGTGGGTAGGAGATTGGGGGGGGTTCCTGAGGTGGGAGGAATGGTTAGGGAGGCGGGGATGAGCTGGGCTGGTTTTGGGATGCGGTCAGGGGAGGGGAGATTTTGAAGCTTGTGAAGTCCACATTGATACCCTTGGGCTGCAGGGTTCCCAAGCAAAATGAGATGCTGTTCCTGCAGCTTTCAGGTGACATCATTGTGGCAATGCAGGAGACCCAGGATGGACATGTCGTCCAAGGAGTGGGAGGGGGAGGTGAAATGGTTCACGACGGGGAGGTGTAGTTGTTTGTTGCGAACTGAGCGTAGGTGTTCCGCAAAGCGGTCCCCAAGCCTCCGCTTGGTTTCCCCGATGTAGAGGAGGTCACAACGGGAACAGCGGATACAGTATACCACATTAGCAGATGTGCAGGTGAATATCTATTTGATGTGGAAGGTCTTCTTAGGGCCTGGGATGGGGGTGAGGGGGGAGGTGTAGGGGCAGGTGTAGCACTTGCTCCGGTTGCAGGGAAAAGTGGTGGGGAATGTGGAGCGGACAAGGGAGTCACGGAGAGAGTGGTCCCTCCGGAAAGCAGATAAGAGTGGGGAGGGAAAAATGGCTTTGGTAGTGGGGTCAGATTGCAGATGGCGGAAGTGTCGGAGGATGATGCGTTGGATTCGGAGGTTGGTGGGGTGGTACGTGAGGACAAGGGGGATTCTGTTTTGGTTGTTATTGCAGATAGGGCGTGTGAGGGATGAGTTGCGGGAAATGCGAGAGACACGGTCGAGGGCATTTTCGACCACTGTGGAGGGGAAGTTGTGGTCCTTGAAAAACGCAATCTGAGGCTTGGGGACCGCTTTGGGAACCCTGCAGCCCAAGGGTATCAATGTGGACTTCACAAGCTTCAAAATCTCCCCTTCCCTGACCGCATCCCAAAACCAGCCCAGCTCGTCCCCGCCTCCCTAACCATTCCTCCCACCCTCATCTCCTACCCACTAACCTCATCCTGCCTCCTTGACCCATCCATCCTCCCTGGACTGACCTATCCCCTCCCTACCTCCCCACCTACATTCACCTTTACTGGCTCCAACCCCGCCTCTTTGACCTGTCCGTCTCCTCTCCACCTATCTTCTCCTTTATCCATCTTCTCCTTTATCCATCTTCTATCCGCCTCCCACTCTCTCCCTATTTATTTCAGAATCCCCTTCCCCTCCCTTATTTCTGAAGAAGGGTCTCGACCCGAAATGTCAGCTTTCCTGCTCCTCTGATGCTGCTTGGCCTGTTGTGTTCATCCAGCTCTACACCATGTTATCTAACATTCTGGTAAACCTCTTTTGCACCGTCTCCAAAACCTCCACATCCTTCCTATAGTGTGGTGACCTAAACTGTGCACAATACTCCAAATTTGGCCTAGCTAAAGTTTGATACAGTTGCAGTAGGGTTGCCAACTTTTATATTTAATGCCCCAGCCAATGAAGGTAAGCATGCCATACGTCTTTGTTACCAACTTATCCACTTTGTGTTCCCACTTTCAGAGAGCTATGGAATGGCACCCCAAGATCCCTCTCTGTGTCAGTGCTCCTGGGTCAAGGGTCCTGCCATTTACTGTATATTTTCCTCTTCCATTTGACCTCCCAAAATGCATCACCACACACTTTTCCAGATTAAACTCCACCAGATATTTCTCCGCCTAAGTTTCCAACTGATCTATATCCTGCTGTGTCTTTTGACAATCTTCCTCACTCTCCACACCTCTACCAATTTTTGTGTTGTCTGCAAACTTACTAATAAGCCCAACTACATTTTCATCAAAATCATTGCTATGTATTACATACAACAGAGGACCAGATTGATCCTTCTGGGACACCACTGGTCACAGACCTCTAGTCAGAAAAAATCCCCCCATGTTCTATGACCAAGTCAATTTGTATCCAACTTGCCCACTCACTGTGGATCCTATGTGTCTTATTCTTCTCGTCCAGCCTACCATGAGGGACTTTGTCAAATGCTTCATAAAGTCCATGTAGACAACCTCTACCGCCCTACCCTCATCAATCATCTTCATCACTTCCTGAAAAAAATTCAATCAAATTTGTGGGACAAGTCCTCCCCCCCATAGAAAGCCATGCTGATAATGTATAATAAACTCATTCTTTTCCAAATACGAGTAAATCTTGTCTGTAAGCGTCTTCTCCAATAGTTTCCCTATCACTGATGTAAGGCTCACGGGCCTGTAGTTTCCTGGATTCTCCCTGCAGCCATCGTTAAAGAGTAGACAATGTTGCTCCTTTATTTATGGAATAGAATCCTTTATAGAGTAGAAACCCTACAGTGTGGAAACAGGCCATTAGACCCAATGAGTCCGTACCAAGCCTCCGAAGAGTATCCCACCCAAGCCAATTTCCCGACCCTATCCCTTGCATTTCCCAAAGCTAATACACCTAACCTACACATCCCTGGACACTACAGGGTAATTTAGCATGGTCTAATTTGCACATCTTTGGACTTTGGGAAGAAACCAGAGCATCCGGAGGAAATCCACACAGACACGGGGAGAATGTGCAAACTCCACACAGTTGAGGGTGGAATCGAACCCGGGTCCCTGGCGGTGTACAGAACCAGTGCTGCCCCATGGTATATTCTGTGTTCTCAGACCTCTCCTATGGCTAAAGAGAATACAAAGATCTCAGTCAAGGCACCAGCAATCTCCTTGCTTACCTCCCTCAGTATCCTGGGATATATCACATCAGGTCCTGGGAACTTGACCCTCTTAATGTTTTTCAAGACAGCCAATACCACCTTAATATCGACATGCCCTAGAATATCAACATAGCCCTCCCTAATCTTACCATCGTTCATGCCCTTTTTGATGAATACCGATGTAAAGTGCTCATTAAGCACCTCACCCACTTTCTCTGGCACTAAGCATAAATTCACTCCTTTTGTCCTTGAGCAGACCAACTATTTCCCTAGCTTACCCTCTTGCTGTTAATGTGTATAAAATGCCTTGGGAGTCCCCTTAATCCCACTTGCTAAGCAAGTTTCATGGCCCATTTTACTCCTCTTAATTCCTTGTTTAAGTTCTTGCCTGCTTTCTTTATATTCCTCAGGAGTCTTGTCTGATTTTAGTTTCCCACATACACTTCCTTTTTCTTTTTGAGTAAAGTTTCAAAATCTCTAGTCGTCCATCATTCTTGAATCTTGCCATCTTTATCTTTCATCCTCACAGAAACCTGCTGGTCCTAAACTCTGATCAAGTGGCCTTTTTTTAAAAAAGGGCCCCACATGTCCGATGTGGATTTACCCTCAAACCGTCAGCCCCAATCTAATTTCACCAGTTCCTGCCAAATACCGTTGCAATTAGCCTTCCTCCAATTTAACACCTTCACCTGAACACCAGTTTTATCTTCATCCATGACTATCTT